ATAAACATTTAACATCATAATTAGTTTAGAAACCATCTTTTATGATTGTTCCGGTAACAGAACAAGACAGTTCATCATCGACTTTGATCCTGTAACAGCCGCATTTGTTCTCGTATATTTGTCAGGGAAGATTAACGCCCTGCTGTGCCTACGCGTGACGACAGAAACCACTAATATAACACTACTCAGATTTCCCTAAAACACCCACATGACCACACATACATATATTATCTCGTATATGGTTCTGCTGCTTATCACTGCTATGGCGAGCATAGTGACAAATTCTATTTTAATAGCAGCTATCAGAACTCGTAGAAAAAAGACAACAACTGATTTAATTTCTTCGCGCTGACCATTTCAGATTGTCTCCATGGTGTAACTTCCTTTGTTGGAGCTCACACAAAAATCCTGATTTTATTGGACAGCACAATAGGTGAGGTTCTGTCTCCGGTCCTGATGACAACAGTTCGTTACTTTTTGTTTGATTTTTTAGGAAAAGATCACGTAAGTTCTGTCGCTTTCAAAAACAAAAACGACGAACAAAATCACGCGCAATGAACGCATACGAGCTATGCCTTCATCTGACACACAAAATCGGTAGCACTGGTAACCATAGCTACCGTTTTTGTCATTCTCAATCTGCCCGGAAAAAATATTGGTCCGATATCCTTACAACGTAATTGGTCGACAAGTGGTGTATTTCAGATTCATGACTTAAACACAGGCATTGGAAAATACATGGAACTGCTGAATTCAATCATTAATTCGATCATTTATGTTATGCGCGGTCAAAAATACATGGCAGTTGTAAAAGGAGTGTTTACATGTTGCAGATGAAAAAAAAAAAAAAAAGCTTTTTTATAGTCATTTTGTCATAATTGATGATGCGTGTCATATGTATTACATATATTTCCAATATATATAATGTACATTATTTATTGTCAATTCGTGGTAAGTTATAAATGTTTATCTGATAATGTCATTTATGTCATAATTGATGACGAATGTAACGTAATAATCATGATTATTGGTATGTTTGATAAAGAAGTTATGGTAACGACATACATAATACATAATCAGTGATCATTACTACCTCGATTTCAATTAAATATTAACTTAATTATTTTGAAATATTTGCCTTTCAAATAATATTTGTATAAGATGTATAAGACCATACTTTATAAGATCTTATCATCATCCAAAACTGCAAATACGGTTTTAAGTCTACACACTGACATCTGCTATATACATATGTAATTTTTGGTATCCTTAAGTGAACTATGGGGTTGTTTTTAATTCGCACATATTCAGACATAATTTACCTTCATTCTGGAAATAAAAATAATATTGACATTTTTTTGTTGAAAAGAGCCTCTTAAAATTTTAATTATTTTCCTTTTACATCACTTTACAAGAATATCATTTAAGAAGTACATCTTTATACTGTGAGATGTACATTGAAATGCTTATGACTATTAGTGTCAGATATCTATGTATTATCGCCCTAACTGATCTTTAAGGATCACTGTCAAATTGCAAAGTTTCTCTTTCCTATATGTTTAACATTTGTAGTTGTCATGTTGTTCATTGTTATAAAACATGTCTCGTGCTATTAAATGTTGTTACTGGTTGCCGGTATTGACTTTTTTCTTTATATACAGAGTTGAGGAAACGTGTCATTGAAAAATATGTAACTTCGAAGAAAAATGTAAACTAATACCATGCATGTTATTAGAATCTGTGCAGCTTATACAGCCAATACAGACGTGTTAGATTTTAAATGATTTTTCTATAAAATTATAATATTTTCTGCCAGGATTATGATTATCTTATCTACAAAACTACGCGAGTATGTGTGGCGGATTAAATGGTTTTCCTCTCAATAAATAGTCGTTTCCTTCCGTGTTTTTAATCTAAGGAACACTGTGGAAACAATATTTTTGCACCAAGTGGAACAGTTGAATTCGTTATCGTGTTTTTTATTGTTATATTACCAGATTATATTAAACTATTTATTTTACAACTATTGTGAAACAAGTTTTAGCAACCTATATTAATCACTCTTCAACATTCGTAAGATATCTGATTTATTATAAAAAAAAACGTGGTACGCAATACGCTGATGTATCAGTAAAACGTCGCCACGATCAACAAACTGTTTTTTCTCAGAATCAATTTATTATATATCAGTTTCTTACAAATATTGAAATTATGGTTGACCAAGAACTTTCCTTTTTGTTATGCGGTAATGCTATCGGAAATCATAGGTTTTGTCTAGAAATCGGTTATCTTCGTTTATGTTAAGATCGAACTCGAGTTAGTAATTTTGTCCTGTCTGAACCTTTGTTGGTTGGACAGGCGTCATGATATAAATCGATCAATTTGTCAAGTTTTTATTTGTTGGATGTTACCTTATTCGCAAATTGTTGTTAATTCCTTGTGCTTTATCGATGGTTTACAGAAATAAGTTTACCATAAAAACATGTTTCTCCTGCGAACATCTTTATATATATTATAACAGTGTCCCCTTTACTCAAAATCCAATATCTACATTAACAATATGAATTGGTATCAGAAGTGTACAGATTATCATGGCATGATACAGGACACGCAATCAGTTCTCTTTTGTGAGTTCACTTTATTGTAAGGACGGCCATCAGTACTTTCTCGCTTTAACTAGAAGAATGTGTTATCGATTGCAGTTTGATGTCAATAATACCATTCTTATTAGTGGTGTTTTCAAGGTCTGCTAATTGACAGTAGTTGTAAAGTGTTGTGTTCTTGATCTTTAAGGTTTAACATTGGTATCGCGATGAATCGGTCATGCAAGGGAAGAAATAGACCATGCATTTTGTGATCGTCATTGAGTTGTTTTTGTTTTCTGTTATTTTAAATCATCTACCTTAAAGTTCATTCTACTGTCAACAGCTTTAAATAAGCATTCATATTGATAACAAGTATCAAATGCATGCCGAATTACATGCATCAAGCTTGTCAAACGCTGAAATTACAAAAATTGGAATTAGTAATAAGAAAGAAGTTCATTTGTTCCCTTCGTGTTTTTGAAGGTGCAGTCACGCTTTTTTGTTTAACTTTCATCTTTTACCAGATCACAATACAGTAAACACGTGTGCGATCATGTATGCGAATAATCTATCCACGTCAATCTCTTGTAGATTAATAGAATCCATCCCTGATGTGAGGTATGGATAAGGTTATTCAAACACTAGGGATAAAATATTGAGCAGGAGACCCGAAGCTTTGCCGAGGGTATTTTGCTCAATATTTTATCCCGAGGGTTTGAATAACCTTATCCTTACCTCACATCAGGGATGGATTCTATTTCTTGCTTATTACCTAAAACCCGTAAAAACAGCTGCTCTTCTAGTAAAGTTGTAAAATGTCTGCACATTTCTCATTTGCATATGAAGCCCGGAATTCAATTGTTAGTGACGTCAATGACCCTGACTGACCAGAAAACGTCATAAAATGACGTCACGAACAATAGCGTGACCCCGAAAGGTCACTATAATTCTCCCCGCCAGTCTGCGCGTGTAAGCGATCTAGACCCGTGGGTCGGATAGAATTTTCCAGCACCGCCGGAAATGCGGATATCTCGGTCTAGTATGCAAGAAGTATTATTATGTTCTTATTTTTGAGGTTTGTAGAAGTTTATCCGTTTGAATTACTCTGCAGTATTGAGTTGGTTTGTTGAATGACGCAACTAATATTGTTGAAAAAATGTCAACATCAATGGAAATACTTGAGATGTTAATCTTTCCATTTGTGTTTCCCCGTCTTTATCATGTTTGCTTCCGTCAAAACATAATGTTTATTTGTTTTATGGTACGTTCCAGGGGAGATATAGAAAACTCCAAACAGAAATGACAAAAAGAATTTATTTCTGAGTAAAATATTATTACCTAGCACACAACATCCTTTAATAATACAATAGATTAACCGACTGTAAAGCAAACATTAATTCGAATAGAAAGTCGATGAAATTAGCGAAAAATATGAACAAATGAAAGATTAACAAGGATATTCGTACAACGAACAAGAAAAAACAAGAACATGAAGGGTACGGAATATTAGTTGAACAACTATTCAGCATCGTTTCATGAGAGATGATGATATAAATAAACGCTTTACATTTCCTTTTTTTTCTTTTTCTAAACACATATATATTCTTAGTTATGGCTTATTTACCATGCCATTAAATTATCTGATATTAACCAAATTGTATTGCAGTAAAAGAGTGATAAAATATATAGTGGTTTAAGTTACTGCACAATGTTCAGATTCACCTACTAACAGCGACAGGGTCGCGCTAAAAGGGTACTTTACAATATTTAATGATATACTCTCACAAACCGATGCCAACTTTTCAATAAATAAAGCCTTACCGTGTTTCACTAGAGATACCAATTAACATTCATGATAGCATTAAAAGAGATAACCCTTTTCTCTAAATAAATTATTTCATTGCTTTACTACTCACGCAGAATAATGTAAATATGGTTATTGTATTTTTCTGTAAATAAGTTAATTGAGATTTTTGATGTCTCAGATTGATGTGATCGGATTTCAGTAAAATTATTAAGCTATTTGACGTTGACACTGCCTCAAAGATAAAGAGTTAGTGACAGTTTAACAGAGGTCATGGTGTCAAACTGTTCTTGTTATGTTTGAACATTAAATCCAGTATCCACATCACGTGTCAAACCTCGCGAATAACTTATTTACATAAATTATATTATAACCTTATATCTGTCGGATTGAATATTATATCGAACAAATCATCTGCACGGGGAACACCTAACAGCAACCATTACTTCAGCTTCTGTCAAACAAACGCCGGTCGTCTAAGCCCCAGCAGCTTTTAGCGTCCCTCGCAATGTTCATCGTCTTTGAAATCGTAAGTGCCTCGGCGATACAATTCATGTCTTGGATATAAAAGCAAACAAATCATTTCTCTAGGAAAACCTAACAGTGACACATTACTTCAACTGTTGTCCAATAAAGGACATTTGTCCAGCCCCTAGCAGTTTCTCGTGTCCCTCGCCAAGTTCGTTGTATTTGTAATCGTATGTACCTCGGCCATACACAACATACAATGGTATATATACAATAATAGCAACGATCATGTTCATAATGATATGTCCACCAAATATGGCAACCAAGATGTGTATGTTTCGCTCGTCAGTCTGGTCCCAATGTGGATTTGGGGAAACACCTAGAATCATAAAGATAAATATATATCAAATAATTATTAATGTAATTTGTATCAATGCTAACAAAATTACAAGTGTCTGTTATGTTTAAATAACAAATGATATATAAAAAACATTGACGTGAAAAAATATGATCAGCTATGGTTCCAGTCAATAGATATCATTGTGGTGAAAAGTATTATTTTGCTGATCAATCTATGAATAATTTAAGTCCAAATTAATTATTAATTTGTCATTTCTTATCTCTGTGTGCAACCAATTTCCTCAGTGAGACATGATTTGAACTTAGTTTCATTTTCAAGATGTATTTTTTTGTATTACATATTCATTATTACTCAATGTGGACATTAGTGCAAGCGATATTGTTAGATATTGTGAAAGAAGACATTTTCACGATTAAGAAATGCTCGCGTATTTTGTTCGTTGAGTTTGCAGAACAATTGCAGAGCAAAGATTCCCGCACTTCAATTGGTTTAGAGAGTAACTTAAAGAAAAGCAGAGATTTATCTCCACGCCATTTTCGTACCGCCCACTTAATTTCTCTGCACCCCTGGTATATGTCAAAGCAACATTGAAAGCACGCGGCTAGCTATTTGATTGATATGAGGTACGATAATCTGTCCAATAGCTTGGCTAATACATCGCAGATTTTCAAGATTGCAGAAAGGCAGCTACGCTGAACATCAGAGGACCGAACTAGTCTTCTTCGTTTCATCCACAAAGTGGCACATACTGAGCCTTCGAAGTTTTTCTGGCAGGTTGTAGAATGTGTATGGGAGCGTAACCCCTGGGTATCGAATATATCTTAACGCACACTAACTGTAAACACAAACCTGTTAACTGGTGGCGGTCAAACGAGATGAAAGCCATTTGTATGAACCATGTTCCCAGTATCATTACGGAGGATGTTCGGACCGCAGAGGCGATGAAGTTGGAATGGTTGCTGTAGAGTTCTACCAGGATCACAGCAGCAGCAACAAACATCACATAGGTGGGCAGCATGTGGATCATTATCAGAAACTCAGTGGTGTTGTGTCCACTACGGATACTTACGCCACTCCTGAAAGGTAAACGTGAGAAACACACAAATAATTCATTAGATTCAGTTGTAGATACAGTATCACATAACTGCTTCGTCCTTAAAGCAAGCTTCTTTGATGAAAAGGGCAAAAACCTTGAAATCAAAATATATACTACTGTTGATACAGAAAGGGAGGGGCATTACCTCCTAATGACAAATACAGGAGTATGTTGTAAATCTGAAATTTACAAAGAGTACAAAACTGTATATTAGTGAATTAAAAAAGAAGCCGATCGGGCCCGTATCACTTATAATTCCCCTTTGTTATCTGAACTACGAAAACAAGTTTAAATGTGTTAGATGCTTTCTCATACTTTGTCAGAATTGTATCAGACAGATAATTATCCACTTTATTTAAAATCTGAACTCTAGAAAAGTGACGGCTTATTTTTTCCAGTAATGAAGAAAAGCGATCCAATTCATTATGAACTACGGACCATATGAGTGCCATTGAAAGTGTCACAGAGTTGACACCTTCAGGTACCGGAAACTTCCAGGTCAGCAGGTCAAACAAGGCGTGTAGAGCGAACATGCCGTACATTGTCATGTGTTGTAAATTTGTAATAGCTCCTGCACGAAATCCACCATCGGCTGGGTCAATGAAAGTTAGCCTAGACGATCCTATTTCACACAGAAGCACTGTAAAAAGGTGTAAAGTATTGTTAGATCGATTGGGATATTTATGCTGTAATACGTTTTTTTCTGTTGTCCGTCTAGTACTGTATTGATATGGAGTCTTTTTGTGTTGCTTTTGCTATTTTCTTTTCTTGTTGAATCCAAGCAACGCATACTCTGGACGCATGCAACAAATTCAAACTGAACTTACTAATACTGTGTACTATATGTATACTTTGAGAAAACTTTGTAATACGACTGTTCGACGAATATCGTCTTAACTTTGTACTTTTGATTTAGATAAGTTTCTTTGCATTTATTTTCAAGGGATCTGAAAAGCAATAAGGATCACTCAATTTGTCAAAATGCATTGCGAAGCAAATATAGTATGTCAAATGATGTTTCGGCTGATTTTTTTATAAAGCGATATGAGTTTTCCCCCTAGGTAATGTGAAAGCCAAAGTGTGAACAATAAAGTCATTTTAGATGAAACATTTACATTTAGACTTTGGAAAGGTACACGGAAATAGGACAAGGTTTTCCTAAAAGGTAGGCGTCTTCGGCTTCATGGACGACGCCCGACATGTTCAACTTGGTAAAATCAAAGTTTTGTCGCCCTCTCAAAGTACCGTTCTCTAAGTGAGAACCTGGGTAGTAACACAAAATTACATGACACACCATTGAGCAAACTTAAAAATATATACCTTAAAATAATAAAATGTATAGACTTTTCATCCGGATAAAATGGTCTGTGTGCTATTTCCTGATCGAATTCCCTACGTAAAATAACCAGAACCAATAGCTTAATGTGCAATAATAAATATTCAAGAAAGGTTAATAAAATTTGCGACGACTGACTCGGGCGAAACAATGTCATGTTTATTGCTGACGCGAGACAGTTAATGACAGTTTACATTTAATATGCAGTCCTTTCGTATGTGTACGTGAAATCGAACTTACCAAATGTAAACGCAAAGATCTTCCATCCCGATTCCAGCGGTATCCTAGGACAGGTAGTAATGGGGTAACTGACCCTTGATTTGAATGCAGAGCCATTCTTTTTACTCTGTTGAATAGAAATATAATTCATAAACGTCTTTTGTTATGTTTGCATGCATGAGCGTTAACGTTCTCGCTACAGACACATATAGAACGGTTGCTTAAGGAGACAAAACTGAGAAGAAAGAGACCAAAGAAGAAGCCAGAAAGGAAAATACATTTATATCCCAAGTGTTGCAATGGAGATAGCAGGTCACGTGTAGATTCTTCAATGTTCCCTTACCAACAGATACCGAAGAAAACTAAGTATTCTGCAATGGGTCCACATTATCCGCCTCTTACGATATTGTGTATTGCGATACAACAGACATATGCATGTCCCGACCCTGCAGAGGGTAAGGCCACACAGTGCTCAACTTCAGCAAAACGGTAAACGGTTGGTGTGACAAGAGAGACACAGAAGACACGGTTAACTCACGATTTTGCAAAGGGACTCCACATTAGTCGCCCCGTTAGATTGTCGTCAAGCAATGTAATGAAACAGGTCTTTCGGAAGGTGACATACGAAATTGCTACTTACCAGTAAGTAATCTCGGAATATATTGAACATCCACCATGCCGAAAGTGATAGCATAAACGACCCAATTATCATATGGCCTGTGAATCCCATGTTTCTTTCTGGGAAAAAAGGTCAGTAGAAATGAGACGCTATATAAGTTGGCTCATGATTTAAATTGTTTATGTATTCTCAGTATATTGAGTCCTACAATGTTGTAATTAATTAGTTATGCTAAATCGAAAAGTTCGTTTATACAATACAATGAGCACCGTTACTTGTGAAATATTTTAAAACGTTTAACGTTTTATCTCAACCACATGCGAGATCTTGTAATGGAGAAAGGAATATCACTAAATTAGCCTGAAATTGGATGTCTCAATAAAGCTAAATTGTTTCACATAATCGTTGTTGTGACTGTCGAAATGTGAAACGTGATTCTAATTAACTTCATAAAATAAATTAACATTTCTACGTTTAACATATCAGTGGTGTACATACGTGCAGTGATGTCGTCCAAGCTTGTTTTTGTTGATGATCTTAAAGTACGTATTTATACAGCCATATAACGCCTGTCGATTGGTCGATTTTCCATGTATAAATCTTAATGTGCATTTGAATACGAATGTTAGACAAATCTTGAGGAAATTATAAAATAGCCATAAACAACTGTAGTTGGTCATTATTATATTCATGAATCCTTTGGGGGTATTTGAATATGGATGTTTAAAATATCTTGAGGAAGTCGCAATTAAGATTAAAAGGATAAAATATAATAAAATCAATTAAGTTATCCTAAAACACTACTTTAAATTTTAAATGCAATTACTGTTATATTTAAAATCGCAGATTAATAGTTCGTTAGATCCATGTTTAATTATGAGATGTTATATTTAGACCTAGCGTTCGAATGAATTTATTAACGGAGGTCATTTACAAATGTTTATATTGCAACTTTGCTAAGTTCATATTTTGCACTAGTTTCATAAATTTTGAGTTTGAATTATGGATTTGATCACATATCAGTATATTCAGAAAAATGTAATGAAACCCATGCGTCTAGGCCAACGAAAATGGAAAGCAAACTCGCTTAATGGAGTCCCATTGACATTTTGGCAATTATTTCACTACTTAAACCAGATCAATCGTTAGTTAAAAAGTTTAGCACTAAAATAATGAAATGCATTCAGTCTTAGTTTGGATCCATAACAGGTAGCCGCATTTAATATGTGACAAAAAAATGGCTTGTTTTTAATCTAGTCGTCTAAATCTTTGAAAATACTGATCAGTATATTGGGAGTTGATACCTGGGCTGTTTGTTCGCCAAATCATTGTATACAAAAATAATTCTGCATTCTTCTTCAAACATATTTTACCTCCCATTGCAATGTTAAGATTTATTGTATATTATAGCTCTGAGTGTGATATATTATAGCTCTAAGTGTCGTATATTATAGCTCTGAGTGGTGCTTTATAGCTGCTGTGAATTTTTGGGGTGTAATTTATCAATCTGATGTGTATGTTACTTGTTTATCATAAAAGAAAAAAAGAACAGATTAAAAAAAAAATGTATTGTCAACATATAAATACTTAAATGTGATCTTGTAAAATAAGAACTATACTATCTGAAATGTAACTGGTTCAATACTATAAGGTTAAAATTATCACAGCCTGCATGACCTTCATTTTCATATTTTCATGATTTACTCAAATCAAGAAATGCAGGCATTTTACTTTTCCATTATTTGGATCAATGAAATCATTTCAGCGGGAATGTTTCAGATATTGGCAGCTGTTAGGATTAACACAAAGTATGTGTGGTAACTGTTCTGTACGGTAAGTAATTACATAATTTACATTTGTTATATATTTGTGTTATTATCATTTAATTATTCTTAATTGCCCTGGCAGATGTATATATTATTGCTTTCCTGTAATTACTTATTTCACCAAGTCCAGGGTGGAAAGACCTGAACAATCTACCAAGATACGTGCATCCCTAATTACACTAAGTGTGAGAACGACTTATGAATAGTGGATCTCCTTAGACTATATAGGACTGATAGTTGTGCTCCGGTTAAAATTTGATTGAATAGACTAAATGCGTCTCATACCTATTATATGAACACTACAATTAAGTTATTTTATTTAAACAGTAAACCAATGGCGAGCTAATTAAGTTGTTTAATTAAAAGTTACAAATGAGATTATTTAATTAAGAGCTCATATATGATCTTATTTAGATTGAATTTGCTATAATAAGTGGTCTATAGAAATTATATTACAGAATTAATTACCATAATGTTGTAAAAATAAAAAAATAAACAAAAACAGCATTTGTCATTTGCTATAGTAATGAAGTAAGAAATATTCATCGATGGTTCATAGCTATGAACAATGTTCCAAGTCGATAAAGAACAGCGCGAATATGAACATATACAGATGAGATTTAACGGTGTCGCTTTGAATTTCATATTAAGTTTACGAGTAATGTATGATATCGATATTTTTCTCTAGAGTTGTACTTGTGGAAAAAATAACAGCAAGAGAACACCATAGTGATTTATTTATTTATAAAAGTTGCAATAACTTCTTTCATAATTGTTGTAAAATAAATCAAGCTTATATTTATTTTATTACATATTGCATGTTTTGACAACCAAATCTGACGCATTACCTAACAACCAAGAAAAAAAAAGGCAAACATGTCCCAAGGGAAATAGATGTAATAGATAAAATGGCATCATAAATAAGTTGTAAAAAAGAGCCTCTTATACAGAAACTTAACTTATGCATAACTTACTAGGTGCCTAGCCGAACAGTTAGTTGCATCCGTCTTACCAATGGGATTACCTATCTTTGTTGGACTGTGCGCCGAAAACAATGTACTAACAACGTGATATTTGTATAATCATTTACCAGGGAGGGAGGTAATTGAAAAAGAAAAATTGCTCAAACATCACTGTATCAATCAATAATTAAGAGAACAACGAAGTTTATTCCAAACCGTAATTCGATATAAAACATCGATAAAAGTATTGCATAATTAAGACAAGGGAAAATGTGAATAGAGACATTTGAAAAACGAATTGACAATAGGACCAGACATTCCGGAAGGGTATGTGGCTGAAACATGTACAATGATAGTGAAACCTCAAAAATCTTACAAATCTGTTTACAGATAATTTTGTAATCGAAAAAGGCTTAATGAAATATAAACAACATGCGGGATGGTGTTTTTTTGGCAATTCTCTAGCCTCGTAGTTTAAGGAAGCAGCGTACAGTAGCGTAACGGTGGTCATGGGTGATATTTTTGTAAAATAAAATAACCCCTGTGATATTACATGTATCAGAATTTAAAGAAACATCTGCACTAAAATCGGCATATACATGATGAAGTTGACTATGTGGGCTTCATAAAATTAATTCTTATAAGAAAAGTTGATTTCAAAATGTAGTTTATAAATACATAGAGAGAGAGAGAGCATCTGTCATAAGTTTCCCTTCATATAAGAGGCTCGCAAACATGAAAACGAGTATCATCAATCTAATATGAGAAACGAATGACAGATTCTTTTTATCATATAGTACAAAGTAAACTGTATAAATAGGATCTGAAACGAATATTGTTCACTTGGCCGTCTCTGAAATGATGAAAATTGTGTCCGCTTTACAATGACATGACGTCATATTGATTATTAGTATGAGATTGTGACTTCATTTCCGAAGTGATATTTCACACTTTAAACAAACATACTTTATGTGATGGCTTTATGACACTGCATAACACGGAATTCATATGGTAAATAGAGGATCTTGCATGAGTGTTCATGTCATATTGAACGTATTGAAGGAGTTGAAAAGTCGAGTGCCATATCATATTATTGAACGAGTTTAATAAATTCAATATGGCATGAACACGAATGTAAGATTCTATTGATCACATAAGAATCCGAAATTTGAAAAAAAAACGCAAACGCAATTATGTGTTATCAGCTGACTCCACATACATCAAAACCAAAGTACTCAGATCATAATATTGTCGTTCCGCTCATGGACAAAGTAGTGCCAATTTATTTTTTTAATAGTGAACAGTTTTAATTGCAATCAGAAAAAATAATTTATTTAGAATAATAGTATATAGTATATGTAACATGTTATATAGTAAATAACAGTAGTACTCGTAGTGGCGAAGGAATATGATCTCACGGTTTTGACCAATCACCGCACCTTTAGGTTTTATTACACGTGTGTAATACCATATTTATGACATGGCCGTATGGTATAGTAAAATGGGTCAGTTATGTGATAAAGATATATTTGTAGATGTTTAGTGCAGGATGAATCCACTATCTATGTTTATTTGATACATGCTCTTTAGTTTTAGATTCAGGACATTTCTTTCTATTGTACTCTGCTACCTGAATTTATCATGGCAGAGTTGACGTAAAATACTTGTCCAAGCTTATATCACTTGTTGTAGCGAAAGAGTGGTAAAAAGGAACTATTTCCAGCTATGTTAAATTTACATAGGAGCCTGCCTCATATAACTTTTGTTTCAGAAGTGCTACGATATTCCTGCTGCTGTTTTAACTTTTTTTCAATCCCTTATACATCCGAAGTTATTACTTTGAATCACTCTTCTATTTATTTAGATGAATAATTAACCTAATTACAGCATGGGGGTCGAAAACTGGAATATCAGCCTAAATATTTTTTCTGATAAAAAAAATCGTATATTTTGCATCGTAATACTACGGGAAGAACATTTTCTTCGTGTAGTGCATTAATAATATATTTATCATCCAGAATATATGATTTTTCATTCTTATTATTCTTGTATACCTAAAATGTTCATATTATGAAGAAGTGGTGTTATTTCAAATATGTATGCAAGAATCCAGTCCAAAAAAAAGTGGTGGAAAGTATTCATTTCGCACAACAAAGTACTCTGTGTACCCAAAACGGTGAGGACCTAAGACACCTCCCTGGCGTCCACCAAAAAGCAATGCACCTGATTACAGGTAATTGGTAATGAAATTCGTTGCAAGCCTACAATAAACATTTCAGTGCATGTTAAGTAACAAGCAATTCCATATTCCAATTATTTCATC